TTTTTAATTAATATGGTAAGAGTGCTTTTGGTATTATTTTAACTCAGGCAAATACCATGCTAAACTTTTATTTAACTTCCATGCTAAAATGTTTTATATGTTAACAAACATCTTTGAGGAGTATCTCAAATGAATGAAAAGATAAAATGAGAATCTTTTTCTTAATAAAAAAGAGAAATTTTGAAGGATAATAAAAGCATGTTTATATAGGAATAATTTTTCACTGTAAAGTATTTGGTAAAAATTATATTTAGTGTTCTTATCCAATATTTATCAAATGTTGTATGATTTTGTGCAATCTGTAATAATGTTTTCATAATTAATTCTATTTTAGAATTATTCAAAAATTTAGATATGAACCTATAATATGGTGTTTAAAGGAATTTTGGAGGTTTCTAAAACCTACCATTAAATATTTTTTAAAGGGAAAAAATTTAGAAATATAATTTGAAACCCTAAAAAAATGTTGCTTATCAATAATTATCAATCTTTAGCCCAGCATGGTGGCACATGCCTGTAATCCCAGGGGCTCAGAAGGCTAAGACAGGAGGATTGTGAGTTCAAAGCCAGGCTCAGCAATTTAGTGAGGCACTAAGCAACTCAGTGAGACCCTGTCTCTAAATAAAATACAAAATAGGCCTGGGATGTGGATCAGTGGTCAAGTGCCGCTGAGTTCAATTCCCAGTAACCCCTCCCTCCAAAAAAAAAAAAAAATAGAAGTAGAAGTAATATGCAATTCAAGACACAAGATCCAATTTTTATTCTCCAGAATTTGACAATATTTTAGTAAGTACAGGATTAACAAGCACAGATTAATAGAAAAAAATTTCTGGACACAAGATCATTATTATATCATATGTGATGAACCAGAGCTGTAACTGATTATAATCTGGAAAGGTTAAAAATGCATGAGAATTATGCACTTACACTTTTCATTGAATGGTGTTTAAACTTTCCAAAGACAGGATGGCATCAGGAAGTCATTTCAGGATGGGGAAGCTGAGATAATGAAGGAAAGGCCTTAGGAATGAGGAAAGGTTTGCTGAGATATTATAGGGATTACTCCACTCCATGGAGTAATGTCTACCTTTTCTGTAGATTATTTTAAAAATTTAAATTTGTTTTAATTAGTTATACATTACATTATATAAAATGGAGTATAATTTCTCATTATTCTGGTTATACATGATGTAGAATCCCACCTAGTAATATATGTACATAGGATAATAATGTCTGATTCATTCTACTATTCATTCTACTATTCTTCTTACCCCTGTACCTCCTCCCCTCCTTTTACTCCTCTCTACCTAAAGTAACTCTATTCTTCCCCAGCACTGCCCCCCCCCCCATTGTGAATTAGAATCTGAATACCACAGAAAAACATTCAGCTTTTGGTTTTCTGGGATTGGTTTATTTCACTTAGCATGATATTATCCAGCTCCATTCATTAACTGGAAAATAATTTCACTCTTATTTAAGGCTGAATAATGTGTGTGTGTGTGTGTGTGTGTGTGTGTGTGTAATTAATCCATTTATTATGGAAGGGCACTTAGTTGTTTCCATAATTTAGTACTGAGAATTAAACTGATTAACACTGATGTGGCTGCATCATTGTAATATGCTGATTTAAGTCCTTTGAGTATCAACTGAGAAGTGGAATAGCTGAGTTAAATGGTGGTTCCATTCCAAGTTTTCTGAGGAATCTCCATACCACTTTCCAGAATGTTTGCAACAATTTGCATTCCCACCAACAATGTATGAGTGTACCTTTTTCCCAACATCCTCACCAACATTTTTTGTTGTTTGTATTTATTGCTGTTTGTATTCTTAATAATTGCCATTCTGAATGGGATGAGATGAAATCTAGATTACTTTTTTTCTATATTCCTTTCAATTATTAAAACTTTTGACTATATGCATTTATCTGTAATTATATTTAATAAGGTCTACTATTATTTCTTTCTTTTTTTTTTTGGTACTGGGGTTTAAACTCAGGGGTACTCTACCATTAAGCCATATCTTCAGCCCTATTTTATATTTCATTTAGATACAGGGTCTCACTGAGTTGCTTAGCACTTCACTAAGTTGATGAGGCTGGTTTTGAACTCACAATCCTCCTGCTTCAGCCTCCTGAGCCCCTGGGATTACTGGCGTGCACCACAGCATCAGGCACATTTATTTCTTTAGTACAGTTTCCTCTCCATTTTGGAAATTTTCAACCCCAGGATTGCAAGCAACCCAAGTTTATTGTTTATTGATTTCAAATAAAGAACTTAGAGGACTCAACAGAGAGTTTCTAGATATTTTACTACTCACATACTCCTCGGTGGCAACAGATCGGGATACAGTGAAAGGCTGCCAACACCTACAGGCAGAGAGGGAATATGTAGCATAGGTCGCATGCCCACTGTGCAGGTGGAGTTTCACAAAAGTTTATGTGTACATTCAATCAGGGGAACGCTGTTTAGATCCTCACCTAAAGCCTGGACGTAAGGAAAGTGGTCAGCTTTCCCTCTCCATCTCCTATGTCATTGCATTACTTTAATGTTTTTATCTCACTGCAAGCTTTCTGAGGCACTGATTAGTGTTTAACATAACAGGAATCTATCTGATAGATTCCTATCTGACTTCCATAACCCTGTGCAAATATTTCAATAACATATATTTCACAAGTTCTCAGAATTACTAGAGGCAGAACAGATATTTCTGTTTTCTTAAAAAAAAAATTTCAATTCATAAACTAAGGCTTGGAAATGCAAACAACATTTCAAGTCATTTAATACTGATTACCCATTAATATGAAATGAAATGCTGGAGGTGATTTGTTTAATTCCTAGAGTATCATCTCACAATTCTATACACAGAAACCTTGTAAACACATCCAAGCAAAACTAACAGAAAGCCCATAGGTATGTGCTTGCTACATATTGGCATGGTTTCATATAAGCATCTTATACATACATACACATATATTGAGATATATAAACACATATATTGTTGTAGTATCATAAATTGGAGTATACAATCAAGTGAACAGGACATAGAAAATCAGGAAGAAAATGTCTTCTAGTTTGCAAAGTGGGGAATAGCCTCCCCTTTCTCATGACAATTATGCTTTTATGGCATGAGAAAAACATGACACTACATTGAAATGTTTGTTATGCATTTGAAAGCAAACTAATGGCAAAGCAAGTGCTGTTTTATGCCTGTTAAATGAGGAAGATGATTTTTTTAAATACAAATTATAAATTTACATGCTCATTTTGGGCAAAGAGGAATAACGTCTGATGCTCTGCCTCTGGGAACAGTAGTGCAGAAGAGCACTGGAAATCATGTGTTACTTGGAGACATCCATGTTTCTCTACTTAAAGCTTTGAAGCTTAGATACACATAGAACACAGCCATGACCTTCACATAAAAGCAATTTATCTGACTTCCATAACTCTGAGAAACCTTTCTTTCTTTCTTTTTTAAATTTTAATTGCTTTTATTAAAAAAAAAACACACGACAGTGGAATGCATCACAATTCTTAGTACACACACATATATAGAACATAATTTTTCATATCTCTGTATATATATATATATATATATACAGAGATATGAAAAATTATGTTCTATATATATATGTATATATATATATATATATATATATATATATATATATATATAAAGTATGTTCACATCAATTAATGTTCTGAGAAATCTTTCTACTGAGGGGAAAAAATCATCTGGATAGAGCCATCAACAGAATAGAAGAAAGGGGAGATGTGCAACCAGTGGATGCCACAAAGAGCTTCTGGGTCTTACTGATAGGGACAGTGAGTTACCTCTCAGGAGGACTTACTCAGTTTTCTCATTGCTATTATTTTAAGGTCACCTTTGGAAAATTACTAGGGTAGGGGGAAAGAGGAATTATTTTGGTAGCAATTTACCTTCTTTGCACCATTAAAGACATCATTTTTTCCTTCAAAATGGATAGTGAGTTTTGGGGTGAGTGGTATTCATCTTTATTCTGAAAACAATTTGGGAATTTTAACATTCCTAACTATATAAATACCCCACATGACTGCATGTTTCAGTCAGTTTTTCTGCCACTGTATCCAAAAGAATGGACAACAACAATTAGAGGATGGAAGTTTATTTTGGAGCTCACAGATTCATAGGTCCTAGTCCATAGACCCTATTCTTTGGGGACCAAGGTGAGGCAGGAGAGTGTGGCAGAGGAAAGTAGCTCAAGACAGGCACCAGGGAGAGGATGGGGGAGAGGGGCGGAGGAGTGGGAGGGAGGCAAAGAGCTCTTAACAAAGACAAAATATAGAGCTCCAGGATTCACCTCTGCCACCTACCTGCCTACCTTACATCCAGTTAATCCCTATCAGGGTATTATTGCACAGATTGGGTTGAAACTCTTATAACCTAATCATTTCACCTCTAAACTTTCTGGGGAGGGGGGTGGTACCTTATGTTCAAACATCACAACACAAGGGTAAAATAATGACACTACTAAATCCGAAACAATACATGTGTGAAGAAAAAGACATGGTTTCTTTCAGACATGGGAATATCTGTATGAAATTATCAGGAAATAGTGATGGTAGCATAATCCCAAAGTTATATAGCAAGGAATGTTCTATACACAAATATCAAGAATATAAAAGGATATCATCAAATGTATTTATTCTCTAAATTAAGACAAATAAGTCATGCTTAGAGTCATGTTTTATATGTATTATGCATAATCAAACATGTTGAGGGTTTTGAATTATTTTTAAAAACATTCCATTGTAATACAGGTTAATCCAGCTAGATGAATTCTGAAACACCCAAGTGCCTTTTCTGTGTGTGATCCTGTGATTTCAGTCCACCCTTGGCACCTTTCTTCCAAACAATCAAGTAATGGCAGTAATCTCATGTCTAATTGATAAACATTGTTTTCTCAAATGTTTCTTTATCAAAATTCTATGATTTTTAAACTTTTTCTATGGAAAGTACACTTTTCATAAAAAACTACTTTTTTGGAGAAGCTTATTTAGGGCAACTTTGACATCTTTGTTCCTCAAGCTGTAGATCAGAGGGTTCAGCATGGGCACAATAATGGTGTAAAACACAGAGGAGACTTTTCCTTCGTCCATGGAGCTGACTGCTGATGGCTGCAGGTACATGAATGCAGCAGATCCAAAGAAGAGAGCAACAGCTGAGATGTGGGAGCTGCATGTGCTGAAGGCTTTGGCTCTGCCCTCAGTGGATCGAATGTGCAGGATGCTGGTTATGATGAAGATATAAGAGCTTAGGATGGACAGGGCTGGGACAAAAATATTGAACACACTGAAGCACAGAACTACTACCTCATTAACAAAAGTACTAGAGCAGGAGAGCTCTAATAGTGCAAGAACATCACAAAAGTAATGGTTTATTATATCATCCTTACAGAAAAGCACCTTTAGCATGCAGGCTGTGTGGGCTGTGGAACCAATCAAGCTCATGCTATACACCTCAGTTAGCAACCAGGAACAGACTTGATTAGACATGGTTACATTGTAAAGCAAGGGGTTACAGATGGCAACATAGCGGTCATATGCCATTACAGCCAACATGTGACACTCTGCAATTGCAAAAACAATGAAGAAGTAGAGCTGAGTCATGCATTCCGGGTAGGAGATGGTGTTTTTCTCTGTCACAAAGTTCACCAACATTTTGGGTGTGATCACAGTGGATTGACAGAGGTCAATGAAGGAGAGACTGCTGAGGAGATAGTACATGGGTGTGTGCAGGTGAGAGCTGAGCCCAATCAGTGTGATCATGCCCAGGTTCCCCACCACTGTGAGCACATAGATTCCTAGGAAGAGGAGGAAGAGGGGCAGCTGGAGCTCTGGTTTGTCTGTTAATCCAGAAAGGATGAATTCAGTCACTATGGAAAGATTTCCTTCTGCCATTTTTCTTCTGAGAGTTCTAAGCAGAAAGAGAAGAAATAGTTTGTAATAGATATTATTGATCTATTGCAAAATGCAGATTGAAATATAGTTAACATCTATTCAGCCGTGTAGCTCCAGGTTTCTACAAGTTCTTTCCCTGTCATTACTCATAGATCTTGTGATACCAATAATTCCTATAAACATCAAGCAGAACTGTCTCTATTTGTGTTCCATGCTATGAGAGTGGATTTTAGTAAAACTTCTCCCTGACCACCCAAGAAAATGCCAGGATAACTTTTATTGACTGTTCCAAAACTTCCCATGGTTTTTAGTAGTCTTCTCAAGAGCTGGGCAAAGAAATGTGTTTTTCTCACTGTTAAAATAACAACAGCATGAAAAGTACTTACACCAATATTAAACTTAATGATGATGACTGAAAGACTTTCCCCTAAGATGTTGAAACAGACAAAATGTCCATTCCTTGCACATTTATTCAACTTTATACTAGTGAATCTAGCTAGGGAAATCAGGCAAGAAAATAAAACTACAAAGTATCCTAATTGGAAAGCAAACTGTGACACTATTCCTATTTGTAAATATAAAAAGCTTGTATACAGAAAACTGTAAGGAACCTATAAATAAGGGGAAATCTATTTAAATATTTTAATTCTTAATCCTATTGTAGAATACAAAGTCAGTATAGAAATTCAATTGGTTTTACACATTTACAATTAACAGTAAATAAATCTACTTATAAAACATGGAAAAGAATAAAATATTTAGAATAAACCAAATAAAAGCCACCAATGCATTGTATATTAATGGCAAAATGTCCAATTGTTATAAGTGTTTCATGGCAATGCAATAGGTAAAGAATATTTTTTTTCAACAACTTTGGACAAGATAGCTACTTGCACAGAATTAATTTGAACATCTTTCTCATGCCACCCAGAAAAATTAACACAAAATGGGTCATAAAACTAAATGTGAGACATGACAGTAATATTAGAAGAAAAGTCTAAATAATTAGAGCTTTGTATTTGATAGTAATTTCTTAGGTAAGATGCCCAAACCAGAGAGTATCATATTTTTTTAAATAGTCCTTTAAAGGGTACCATTAAGAAAGAGATTTTGTAACAATACACAAAATTGTGAACATACTTTCAATGCAAATTAAATTTTGTGGATACTAGCAATATCACAGAGGAGCTTGTGGTCAGGATCTATCATAAATAATTTAAAAATGAAAAGTTCAATAACTCAATTTAAAATTTTGGAGGAATTTAATAGACATTATTCTAAGTATGATACATGAATGACTAATAAACATTTATAAATATGTTCAGCATCATTAATTGTTAAGGAAATTCAAAGGAAATCATGCTGATAAAACTTTTCACATTATTTTAATCAGATTTTCTGCACTGTGACCAAAGATCTGACAAGAACAGTTTTAGAGGAGGAAAAATTTATTTGGGGCTCTCAGTTCCAGAGGCCTCCGTCTACAGATGGCAGCTCCATTGCTGTGGGCCTGACGTTTGGCAGCAGCAGGGCAGATGGGTGTGATGGAGGAAAGTGTCTTAGGACATGATAATCCTTAAGCAAAGAGAACAGATAGCACCAAATTTATGCTTCCAATGACCTACCTCCTCTAGCCACAGCTTACCTGTCTAGTTACCACCCAGATAATCTTTATCAGGGGATTAATGCATTGATTAATTTAGGCCCTAATAACCCAATCATTTAACCTCTAAACAGTCTTGCATTGTTTCACACATGAGCTTTTGTAGGATACCTAATATCGAAATCATAATACACATTCATCTGGAAGGTTATGATCAAAACAAGTCTTGGCAAGAATGGGAAGGATTGTGAATCTTCATCCATTTTATCAATTTCTGGTAGGACTGCAAAATGAAATAAACTGTGAGGAAAACAGTTTTTCAAAATATGAAATGTAGAGTTATCTCCTGGCCCCAAAATTTTACTGCTGTGTAAGTACTCACAAGAAAAGAAAACATACTTCTATAACAAAAAGTTATATGTGAATGTCCAAAGCACCGCTGCTTATGAGAACCAGAGAGTGAAAGCCACTAAAATGCCCATTCAGGAATGAATAGTCAAACAAAAGGTAGCATATTCTTATAATGGAACATATAAGAACAATAAAAGGTACTGAGATATGGCACATCATGAATGTTCCTGAAACACTTTAAATGAAAGAAAGCAGACAGAAAAGAGGACACATTGTATAATTCTACTGATATAAAGTGACAGATCAGTGTCTGCCCGGGGCTGAGCAGGAATGTGCTGGATGGGACTGCTAAAGGGCATGGGTCTTATTTGGATTTTCAGGAAGGTGTTTTATCATTAAACCATGGTGATAGGTGTATAACTACATGAACATACAAAAATCACTGAATTAAAGAGTTGAAAAGGTAGATTTTATGTCAGCTATATTTCAGCAAATATTTTATAAAAATTTAAATGACTACAAAATAATAATGACACCATTCTAAACACAAAGACTACTCTATTATGACTTAACTTTTTTTAACTCTCCTGTAAACCTTGATGTTCACATGTGTATTTTTGTCAAGTCTGTCCATTAAGTTCTCTCCAAACAATGTACAAATTTCTCAGGTAACACACAAATTGTGCTACATAACACAAAACAGGAAAAGCATAGCCCTATCTTGCTATTGACTATTAAGAAATTGTAGCTGCAAAACAGAAACATACCCAGTTAAAGTTCTTATTTCTATGTCTTTATCAGACAAAAATCAATATGTTAAAAATAGATATTATTAAGCAAGATTGAATTGCAATACAATTGTAAAATTGTCAGAAATACATAGCAGCTTTAAGTGAAGTACCAGGAATTTGCTTCCTGATATCTGCTTTGATTTTCTATTTGGTCACCTCCTATAGAGCACAAACTTCCCTAATTTGGGTCAATTCAATGTTTACTACAAAAGCTGTCCAAAAAGAAGAAAAGCTGAAGTATATCTACATTAGGAAATCGTTTTTTCACGATTGTGGCTGATTCTGTAAACCCAACTCCCACAGTTTTATATTTATCTCTTCAGTTTTTAATTTTAATACATTTTCTGATTTTGCCTGTAATAATAAAGCTGAGTTCCCATACTACTATGGTTTGAAAGTCCTCAAAATTCCATGTGTTATTAATGGGGCTGGGGATGTAGCTCAGTGTCTTCTATGTCCAAACAAGTATCATATGATATGATGATTATCTGAAAGGACCTATGGTAGTTCCTCAGTATTAACTCATAATTCTTTTTCTTTTTTCCTCTATCATTTAATCCTGTGAGATACCATATAATACTGACTAATAAAGAATGATAAAAATAGTTTTTCCATCTATAAGTTTAAAAAATTTTGCCGAACACTGATGTATGTGATATACCATCTTTAACAGTGACATCACAGATAACATGAATAAATTTTGTGTGCCCTTGGGTATGTTACTTTTGCCTCTATGTAGCATGTACTGATTCCAGTTGATCTTTTCTACACTTAATTTTCTACACTTACAGTGCTGGTAAGTGCCTTGCATTTAGCAAGTCTCAATGAAGATGTGATCAATAACATAACTGCAAAAAGTGTATAGATAAGTTTATACAGAATCCAAATGAATGAGCAATGCTCACACTACCTGGGTTGTAATGAGTAAACAAAGAAGCATTTTCCATGATTCAATACTGCAAGACACTGAGAGATGATAAAGGAATCTATGCTCACCAATGTATTTGACTCTTCCCTGAGAACAGGGAGAAACAGATAAAACAACAATGTGCATTTCTATGAAGTCTGAAAGAGAGATTTCAGCAGAAGATTTTAAGGTTTTAAAAGTCAAGATCTGAAATTCAGACTCACCTCTCGTTCTTCTCAAAGAGTTCAGTATTGTTTATTTTTTCTTCTTAGTTGCTCTGGAGGAAAAATGACTTTGATGGTAAGAGGTGATCACAGACCAAAGGTATTCTTTGAGTCACTAATCTTGAGATCTTATGAATCTGATGCCTAAAGCCACTTGGCCCTCTGCAAATGTTGACTGATATGATGATGATTATTATTTTTTTGTATACTTGGTATAGTTAATAAGAGTGTGATTAGGAGTAATCAATGATAATAGCCTCTCATGGGAATCTCATACTACAATTGTGTACTCTGGGGAAAATTCACAAGTTTCTTTTTTCAAATTTGGTTCTCAATAGTTGAACATGGTCACATTTGTGCAATTCATTGTTCTTGTTTGATTATGGATTAAAAAGAATGCGGTAAGAGATATTGTTAGAACTCAGTGACTTTCATGACAACACATTTAAAAATTAAAATTTTCAAAAAAAATTGAGATTGCACTAAAAGAATTTTCTTAAATCATTATCCTACTAGTGAAAAATAGAAAAGCAGAAAATACCACCAAAGTATATAAATTTGAAAGTTTTTATTTTTTATTTTTTTATCTCTAGTAGATACATTTAAATTATATATATTAATAAACAAGGAATTCTAGGGTTTGGTAACTTGGGGGCTGAATAGAATGGTTTCATTCAGACATAATCTTAAAATTTAGATATTGGTGAGGAGGTTCCTGACTAATAAAGAATAATAAAAATTGTTTTTCTATCTATAAATGATAGAAAAATTTTGCAGAACAATGATAATATATGTAATATAAAAATTCTCTTCACAATAAATTATTCATTTGGAAGCAAATTTACATTTAATATTGTTATCATTCATTATATAATAATGTATGAATTTTGAGATAAACATTGCAATAAATTCTTTGGATCCATTTCTAGGCTCAGGTGCACAGATTTCTCTGCTACACAGGTGCTTGATGATCCAAAAGGAGAATGCTAGAAACCAGAATATGGAACTATTAAATTTCAGGGAAATAGTCACTGACTTCCCTCAAGAGGAATGGGAATGCCTGGATCCTGTTCAGTGAAATTTATATAGAGATGTTATAGAATTGCAGAAACTTGGTCTTCCTGGATCTTGCTGGCTCTCCACCATCTCTGGCCACATTTCTGGAGCAAAGGAAAGAGCCCTGGTGTTAGAGTCTGTAAACAAGTAAGGATGGCTCCTGGCAAATGTTAGAGTCTGTAAACAAGTCTGGATGGCGTCTGGCATTTTGCCAGAGGGAGTGGTTTGTGAAGTAACGCCAGGGAGCCATTAAGTGTGGAAATTCCTTATTGGTTGACTGCTGTATCGAGTTTATGTTAATTAGATAAGCTGTGTGGAATGTATATATACCGCTCCTGTCCTACAATAAACGGTTTCTACTCCTGCTATATCAATCTACACAAATTATTCGTCACCCCCCGGGTTATTTTGCTGCAGCCGGACTGCGGCACCCTGGAATTTGAAGAGGCAAGAGAATGTAGCCAAATTCTCAGTTCTTCCACTGAAGATAGCAGAGTGGATCTGAGCAACAACCCTTGACACATGCCCCCACACACAGCCCAGAAGGGAAGTAGTAAAAGAATAGCTGACCAGATAGTCTCCACAGGAGCTCAGGCAAAGATGGGCAAACTGACATCATATACCCAACATGGTGATGGATAAAACCCTGGTGAACTTTATAACCCTGATCACAGGGTTTTGAACCATAGATGGCCCACAGACAGCCTACACCCATAGATGCTGCAGTTCTAGGCAGCCATCACATGCTAAGATAGCAATGCTCAAAACAAAACCAAGAAAAGACTCAGTGGAGGTCAGATACAGGTTGCCCAATGAACTATATATCCCAGTCATAGTGACAGTACCCTGGAAATCTACATGAGTCAGAGAGGGGAGGATTCCGAACCACAGACTAACCACAGAAAACCTGAAATCAGAGGTTTTATGCTTCCAGATAGCCACTAGGTTTTATGCTACATTAAAGAAGGTCCCGTGAAGGGGACGCAGTGCAGAGCATCCTTCAGCAGCCAGTGCAACAGCCCTGAATCTGCACCCAATTGAAATAACCAACAAATACAGTAGAACAAATACCCTGTGAGCATGTAGCTGTAGGCCCCTGTACTGACAAAAAAGAAATAGGTGGTGAGAAATCCACAGCAACCAGGGAACAGTGATGGTGGGTATCTTCTAAAGGTCCCAAAGCCTAATGGAATTCGAGCTAGGAAGACTCAGTGAGAATTTTTCTCTACCTTGGCATAAATTATTATAAATATCCCTCATATACATTTTGATCATTTATAATATACACACGTATGTATTCATGTTGCTCTTCACTTTGCATTGACTGTTGATTCCTTCGTATTTGATATTGTACCCTCAAACCTTTTTAATATTTTAAAGCTTTAACTGAAATCATTTTATCTTTGATTTCCTAGCTCAGATTTACACCTACTCCTCTTATTCAGTCTTTTCTCTCTTGCATTAACCACTACTGCCTCAAATCTCCACTGGCCATCTTTTTCTTCCTTATACCTTGGTTAGTATTATTCTTTTCTATGCTTTCTATTTCTTCTCTTTTTCCTTTTGAAGATTTTATCTTTTCCCCCATATAATGTAAGCACCCATATAATGTAAGCAGAAATTTACTATCTTTAGTAACTAATTTCTCAGCCCTGTCTAGAATATTATTAAAGACACAGATATAATATAAAATTGTCACAATTTTATTCCTGGATTAGAGGAACAATGGGTGGCAATATTTTCAACAAAGTTTGCTTCTCCTAAAATTGATTAGTACATGCCTTTAGTCTGAAATGATTTAGTAAGTAAGCTTTAATGTTTCCTTTCAAAGTGGTGCTGATTCTGGGTACAGCAGAGG